ACTAGAGATGGTTTTACTTCTGATTCATTCTGGAATTTATGTAATAAGCAAACACATCTTGTTGTCGTTATGAAGGTAAAAGGTACTGATGAAATTCTTGGTGGATATAATCCTGTTGGATGGGATAAAACAATTCATGCTGTTTTTAAGAAATGCGAAGATAGCTTTATTTTTTCGTTGAAAAATGGTACTATCCAAAATTCTATTTTAAGTCGTGTAAAAGATTCAAAACACGCAATCTTTTGTTCCTTTACTTACAGACCACTTTTTGGTGGTCTAGGCGGCAGTGATTTAGTTATGAAGGAAGATTTTAATCGAGATCGCACATGTTGGAATTTTACACACGAAGGAGGCTCATATGAAAAACGAATTAGAGATGTAACTACATACGAATATGATACATCATATTTTTCGGTAGATGAATATGAGATATTTCAAATTAGCAAAAGACTCTAAAGTTTAGTACAGTAATACCAATTAATTCACTAAACTTATACATTATCATTATTGAGAATAATTTATTTTTATTACAGTTTGAATATAGTCTCGTTAACCTTCTCATTATCTTTACTCGACATATTAAAAGTAAAGCTTTATCGAGAATAGAATTATTACATTTAGTTATGAAGTTTTTCTTTTAAGCCTTTCTTAATTCACCGCATTTTTACGAAATGTAGTATTTTAAATGAGCCGATTTAATCCAAGCCATCGAGCTTAATATGTAAACAGATCATAAGCCCGATATATTAACGCATTTTTAAACACATACAGTATATCTGATATTATAATTTTTTTAAGATTAAGTACGTAACAGTAAAATCAAGTTACGAGGCTTATATGTATTGAATAATGCCACATAAGTCGAAAAATCATACTGCATTGCTCAATGCCGTGAATGAAGCTAAATTATGTAATGCGTAACGCTCTCTCGACTAGTTGAAACCTTAAAACACTATCAATATAAGAAATCTCACTAAAAATTTTTGCTAAATAGGTTGTAGTTATGTTTTCTCTAATGATTAATAAAATTTGAAAGTTATATACTGTAGTAATACCAAAATTATGTAAAGAAACTTTTTAGTTAGTTAGTGCGTAGAAGGTTAGTATGCAGTATGCCAAAAGTTGAGTTATAAATGTTATAAAATATTAGTTACGAGTACGTACGTATGTACATACCTAAAATTACAGTACATACATACTGAAATACACATGAATTTTGGTAAGATTTTCTCACTATATACCTTAATAAGATCACAAATAATATGTATATTTTTAGCTATCTTAAAAAGACACGATGGTTTTTAGATAAGATTCACATTTGTTTTGGAATTTTTATTATGTGGTTATAAAAGGTGACATTGTTGGCAGCTCACATACATAACTGTATATATAATATGATTACAAAATACGTAGAACATAAGTTTTATCGGAATCAAAAGTAAACGCTCCGAAAACTCCGAAACCTCATACCATTAACGGTTATTCTTTTATGGCTAATTTTTTTTTTTTTTTACAAAAAACTTCAGTGTTCAAAGAACAGACCATACCGATACGGCTCACTTCATCTATAACTATTCAACTATTCAGATATATTCATTAGTTAATCGACAAATTTATATCGGCAACTAGTTCATTGACGATCACTTCACCAAAGCAGTGTCTGAAGTCTACGTAACGTAAGATAACTTTTATAATTCAATGTTAGTTTCCTTTTAAGAACTAGGATTAGTATGGAGTAAGTACGTATGAGCTTCTTCGTATAGAGCATATAATAGCAGTATGTAGTAATTAGATAAGTGATTATCGATGAGCCGTTTGTCGGCGAAAGACGTATCGATATTTATTTGTAAACTAAGGAATTGCCACAAATTAAATTTGAGCAATGAAACTACATGCCAATAATCATGTGTCAACAAAGCAAACCCATTTTTTCATTGAAATTACCCTTTTAAATGTTCAAAGTGACACAGTGTTTCTGTTTACGTGATATATATAATATTATTTCCGTTGTACATTGTACCGGAGATGCAATTCCTTTGCCTTACATGTTATTAGTCATCTGAAATAATAAATAAATATAAATATGTAGAGGTTTAGCATGTAGTAGTTAATACACTTTCATCAGAAAATCTTCAGAAAATCTTTACAAAGAAAAAAAAAACAGGTTTATTTATTACATTGAAAAAAATGCTTCCTCAAAGATCGTATAATAATAAATCTCAAAGATCATACAATAGCAGGCCTCAAAGATCATATAATAACAGGCCTCAGAGACCCTTCAAGTTTCAAAGATCACCTACTAACAAGTTTCAAAGACCGTATAGTCAAAGATCACCTGAATATAATACATATAATAACTCTTCAGATTTTTATCGTTCCGGTACAAATTTCAAGGGAAATCATTGGAGTCATCGCGGCACTTTTAAGGGAAGAGGTGGTAATTATCATCATCATCATCCCAATTTCGACGGACATTCTTATTATCACCAGAGTCAAAACGGGTCAGCACATTATGAAAATAAATATGGATACAAGAAATATACACCACCTTCTAGAAACCCAAGGTTTCATCATCATCATCGTCGTCATGTGAAGCCAGATATTAGAACGCGTCAAGAAAAATGAGAACAAGAATTTATTTTTATTTTTTTATCATCTCTTATCTTTACAACCTTTATCACAACTATTATCAGGCTATATTGGCTATATTTTCTTTTATTTCCCTATATTTTAAGCTTTTTTTTTTACATAGTTATTTTTCTGGTCATGTTTAACCTTGTGTCGAATTTCAACACATCGCATAATGTTATTATAATATATCTCAGGCATTATAACTATAATCAAAATCGAATCCTAAATCATCAAATAAAACATGTTGGAGGATTAAAATGTACGAGAACGCTACCTCATATCTTGACCATCCGATGTCTACGATTCCGAATATTTATTGCGAGAAGCAAACGAGAAGAAGTATACGCAGTAAAACGATGATACAATTTTAGTAACGGGTTATTTTTATCATAGTCTAACCTCTGTCCTATCGCGAAAAAAAAAATCGTTGCATTCTATAATAAGGATAAAATTGATGATGATTACATTTCAATTAATTGAGATACTTAAATTGAGATACTTAAATTGAGATACTTAAAATTGAGATATTTAATTGAGATATTAGAGTGTTCAAGACACACATACATTATGCGATATATGAATTGTTTACTATGTTAAAAAAAGAACAAGACTACAGTAAAATTAAATGCGGTGCCTATAGAAAATCAAGCGAAAAATCGTTAACGAGATGATGATCTAGAAGCAATAAATCAAAATCTGCTGACTGACGGCCGCAATATAGATAAATTTTGCATTTTGATGAGATCGTTTAATAAAAGACAAAAAAAATTGCATTTAGAAGGAAATGAAAGATAAGAGATTGAATTTATAGGGAAATAAAAGAAAATAAAATATTTGTATTTGAGACAAAAAAAAACTGAAATCCGCGCTTGAGTTTATAAGAATTGATTGAAGTATTGATATTTAACATCATAAATATGTACGTACGTATACATTTGTTATTATTGTTTGATGTTTATCGGAAAATTGGAAGGCACTTCGGAATCACTATTAGAAGCTTAGAAGCAAATTTTTAATAAAATCAATTGGATTGGAAACTTCTAATTCGATTTCAACTGATCTAGCGTTACCAACCTAAAAAAAATTTCGTTAAAAAAATTGTCAGGATTAGATTTTGCTATAAGTTAACTATAAGTTAGCTTAGAAAGTGCTTTAATAGTACCAAAATTTCGCAAGGAAAACTTTTTGCTAGTGCGCAGAAGGTTGTTTCATAGATAAAATGTTGAGTTATGAACGATTTTTTGGTTTGTTTTGATTTTTTGCGTTTCCTCTGCGTCACACCTGACCTTGAAATCTGATTGGCCAGTGAAATTTTTTAGGTTGGTAACGCTAGGACAGTTTTCGAATTCTATGCTGAAAGCAATTTCAAAACACTACGTTGTGTTATTATCGGTGAGTGAGCAATACGAACGGGAATATTTTTTATTGAGGAATAAGCTATATTTGTCGCACGTTAAGTTTATATTACTAGGTATAGAATCCAGATTTTTTTAAATAAATTGACTTTTACTTATTAAGAAAAGTTCAAAATGATAATTTACGTATCTGGTATATCCTAAAATTTTCATATAATTTGTTTATATTAAAGTTTTTGGCGGGTTAAACTTTTAATTTAATACTATAATATAATAATAGGATAATTCATTAAAAGTTTCACCTGCAAAATAATTAAACCTTTTATCCAAATCGTACGTTAGAATATATGTAATTGATCGTTTCGATCGACTTTCTTAACCTCAACGTTAAAAAAAAATTTGGCCTTTATATGTACGTACGTACGTACGTACATATGTTTAATTCTATAGATGGTGATGATCGGATTTCACAGCGATAGTACATAGTGTAAATTTTATGATCTACATTTAACGTTAACGTTAACTGTTAATGGTTAGCATAGATAAATGCTTTATTCGTCCGTAAAAACAATAAGGAAGTTCGTTTACATTAATGAAACAGTGATGTAATTGTTATTGTTATAGATAACAATTACTATATTGAAATAGTTAATAAAGTGATTGATAATGCATATTGATACGTATGTATGCTAAAAATAAAAAAAATATTGCATCCAATCATATTTAAACATTTAAGAATTTAAAAATGATTTGATCGTGTCAAATTTCTTTGTAAACAAAAATCTCAATTAAAGCAAATCTCATTTCTTATGAACTTCAAAATGACAATGAAATTTTTTGAATCCCTTTCAAAGAATTATCTTGAACTTCTTGACGATAAAGATGATTTTAATGTAATTATTGAAGTTGGTGAAACTCCTAACACAAAGTTATTCCGGGCACACTCTGCTATTTTAAGATCTCGATCTTCGTATTTCCATAAAGAATTAGCAAACATAAATAAAGATAGTAATAATATTAAAAAACTTATTTTAAAATTTGTTTCGATTCAACAATTTGAAATTATCATTAAGTAAGTTTAATCTTTTGATTTACAATCTTGTAATCATACTCTTAATTTATTAATTTATTAATTTTTTAATATATTATATTCAAAGGTACATTTATGGTGGATTGGTCTCATTAGAAAACATCGATGCTTCGTTCATTTTTGAGCTTGTCCTTGTTGCTTATGAATTTTTTCTTGATGAATTAGCAAAGAATCTTGAAAATTATTTGATTGAGGCAAAATCTCATTGGCTCCTCTTACATTTTGCTCGTATCTACAAATTAAGTTTTCAAAATGACAAAATTAATGAATTACAAAGTTGGTGTAATAGTATTGTTGTGAAGCATCCAATTAAGATTTTTGACTCTGTAGATTTCACCTCACTTCCGGAAAATGCGCTAGTTTCGCTTCTTGAACGTGATGATTTACAAATGGAAGAAGTGAAAATTTGGGATTATGTTATTAAATGGGGTGTCGCACAAAATCCTAATATATCATCTAATCCTGGAGATTGGTCTCCCGAAGATGTTTCAATCTTGAAAACTACTTTACAAAATTGTTTACCTCTTATTCGTTATCCTAATTTAGACATTATCAATCATGTGCAACCGTATAAACGAATACTTGATGAAAATCTTTGGAATGATATAACAAAAAGATCTATATATCCAAATGATCCAATAAATTCGGTAATTCTTCCACCTCGTAAGGTTTTAACATCAACATTACCGCCCAGAATAGTACCCAGAGTAGTAGAACCATTTTCAACAATTCTTAGTAAAGCTCATATGGCCGAAATTGTTTCGTGGGTCGATAAAAAAGTTGATATGTACTCTACTGAAAATATTCCATATAATTTTAAATTACTTATTCGCGGAAGCAGGGATGGATTTTCTTCAACATCATTTTGGAATTCATGTGATAAGCAAGAAAATGTTATTGTAATCATCAAAGTTAAAGGCAGTGATGAAATTCTTGGAGGATATAATCCTATTGGATGGGATAAACCGGAAAAAAGTTATTATTACAAGAATTGTAATGAAAGTTTTATTTTTTCATTGAAAAATGACACTATTCAAACATCTATTTTGAGTCGTATAAAACTCCCACGGCATGCAATTTATTGTAATTCTAATCATGGTCCAAATTTTGGTGGCTCTAGTCTTGTTTTGATAAATAATTTTGATCAGGATAATCAATGTTATTGTTATCATTCTATATACGAAAAATTAATTAGAAATGCATCTACATATATCAGAGGTTATTCATTTTTTTCTGTAGAAGATTATGAAATATTCCAAATTCATAAAAAGAATATGTAAATTTTCATTGTTAGTCATAAGTCTTAATTATAGAAAATCGAGAGTTTTTTTAACTTGAATTCACAGCATAAATAGATTCAATAATTTTTGTTTATATTTGAATAAAAAACATGTAGATATCAATTATCGAATGGGTTAATTTGTTTAGTATAATTCGTATCATCCTATTATCTCTGCGATATAAAGGGATATCAGTCAATTAAGTTAATTGACTTTATAAAAAAAACATGGAATTGCAAATTAATTGGATCACATAATAGCTTAATCGAGTCATATCCAGTTCCTTTCGAAACACTATTGATTACTAAACCGAAATATTTTTATCTTGAAGTATTTACTTCAAATATTTTTGGTTTAAAAGTAAAATTGCAAACAATGCTACTATATGTTGTTGTGAGCTAAATTAAATGTACAAGACGTTTCGCTTTGGTTAAATTATTTCGTTGATGAAATCATTTTTAAGTAATTTTGTCCGCAACACTATTCAGTAGTGAATCTATTAAAATGAATCAATCAAACACAGACTTAATAATTGTCGCAGCTCAAGCTGGAGATGGCTAAAACTGTATTTTAATATAAAAATTTTAGATTTTTAGAAGTGCATTTTTTGTTTTTTTTTTTTTTTTTAATGGCAGCTGCTATACATACCCCAATTTTGCTATTCGTACCCCTACTCATGTAAATTAAAATTTGTTAAATTTTTAATGTTTTAAGTGAAGATATCTCGACAACCACCAAGTCAATTTTGATGAAATTTTTTCTACAAATTCGTAGAATTTAAATAAAAAAAAATCATCAAAAATTTTTTTTACTTAGAGCATGTTCCGGTTTCTCACAAACTTTGAGCGAAGATATCTCGACAACCACTAAGTCAATTTCGATGAACGTTTTTTTATTTGAATTCTACAAATTCATAGAATTCAAATAAAAAAACGTTCATCGAAATTGACTTAGTGGTTGTCGAGATATCTTCATTTAAAGTTTGAGAAAGATCCATAATGTCTATCAAAATTGAAGCCGCGTCAAATTTTTCTCAAACTTTGAGCGAAGATATCTCAACAACTATCAAGTAAATTTCGATAAATCTTTTTTTGATAAAATCTTACAGACTCATATAATTTAAATAAAAAAAAATTTATTAAAATTGACTCGGTTGTTGACGAGATATCTTCACTCAAAATTTTAAAAATTCCAAACGACTATCAAATAAGAGCTGCGCCAAATTTTTTAAAACTTTGAGCAAAGATATCTCGACAAACACCAAGTCAATTTTAATGAACCTTTTTTTATTTAAATTCATGAATATTTAGGATTTAAATAAAAAAAATATTAAAATTGACTTGACAGTTGTTGAGATATCTTTGCTCAAAGTTTTTAAAAAATTTGTTTAAATTTACTTAGTGGTTGTCAAGATATACTGTATTTGCTCAAAGCTTGAAAGAAATTTGGTACAACTTTTATTATAATAGATGTTTTGAATTTTTAAAACTCTGAGTGGAGATATCTCAACAACCATCAAGTCAATTTCAATGAATTGTTTTTTTAATTTGAATTTTACAAATTTGTAGAATTCAAATAAAAAATTTTATTAAAATTGACTTGGTAATTGTCAAGATACAGTATTTTCATTCAAAGGTGTAAAAATTTAACAAAATTTTAATTTACAAGAGTGGGAATAAATAGCAAAATTGGGATATGTATAGCAGCCACCTTTTTAATATATATAGTTGAATAGGATTTAAGATTTTTTTTTGTAACCTTATTAATATCTTTATTAAGAATTTAATATAAAGTAAAAGGGGGTATTGTGGCGAAGGAGAGTATTGTGGTGAATTTGGTTTATCTTGTTTCTAATGATCTAAATCAGTTAATTTTTATATCATTTGAATCATCTCATAGAGACGAATCGAATGGTGATTAGAACATCTAATTCTGATCACTGGATCACGAGATATTAATGATTATATGCAACACCAAAATAAACTTGAGGGAATTATGACGAAATTTTGGTGCTTCACATAATCGCAAATATCTCGTAATCTAGAGATTAGAATTAGATGATCTGACCACCATTCGATTCATCTCAATGAGACGAATTAAATGGTACAAAAATTATCTGGTTTGGATCATTACATCACGAGATAACCTAAATTCGCCACAATACCCCCCACCCCTCTAAAATTTAACTTTTTGTTCGATACACAACTCTAAGAATTGCTTCTTTGAAACAATCTTCTATATTACCAATTTTTTATAAAAACAATTCTAAATAAATATACAATCTAAATAAAAAATAAAAAATAATTTTTATAATAAAAATAAAAAAAAATTTATATTAATTTTTTCAACTTCACCAAAATACACCCTTTTACTTTATACAGTATATCAATACATATCTAATTCACATCAAACTCAACTCTTTTTGCTGATCCTCTGTACACAAATTTACATAAACAAAAATTACTAAAAATTTTTAAAAAATACACAAAAACCAATAAGAAACTAGACTTGAAGCTCAGTTTCTTAAAAGACTTGAGTTAGAAAAGCAAAAGTGGCAAGGATATAGAAGAAATTATGTGAAATCATTAGTCTTTTTTTTGCACTTTGCAAATTTTTGAAAAATCAGTATTGACCTTATAATGCAGATCTGTTTTGGTAATACAAGAATCACAATACGTAATGAAGAATAAATAAAAGAAACACATCAAAAATTATATGACAAATACAAACAAAGGTGTTAAACAATCTTAGCAAACAACAATAATAAAAAACAACAATGGAAAAACAACAAGTCATGTGAAGCAAAAATTAACAGAATATTTCAGAAGAATGATCACTATATCAGATAAATTTGGAGTACAAGTAGAAGCACTTAATGAAAATAAAGATATTCTAATAGATCTAATATTAGCAGAATATATTGAGAAAAAACTTATTATAGAAGAAGAAGCTGAAGCTAGGGTTGTTAATGGAAAAGCTTATTCTGGAGCACTCCAGAGTAGAACCCAACCCAAATTGGAGTGGGTTTAAAATTATGCCTTTAAACTTGGAGCAACCTGAAGCAACCTGGAGCAACCTGGAATACTATAAAGCAACCCAGAGCAAATCATTAGAGTAGGTCTAATTTAGTGAAGTAGATTAAAGACTGGGTCAACCCAAACCAACCCAACCCAACCCATTAACAACCCTAGCTAAAGCACAAATAGTAGAACTTAATAAAAAATTATAAAAATATAATTCAAGTAAACTTAATTATATGGAACTTGCACTTAGAAAAAGAAACAACTATAATTACTATGCAGTACTACAAAAAGGAGAAGACCTAGTCAGATATATCAAATATGAAAAAATGAACAATATTTTAGTTGATTTAGAAATGGCTAATGGAATAAGATGGATAGATAATAGAGTTTAAAGAAAAACAAGCTGCTGAAATAGAATTG